GCTTATTTTGGAGACGTGCATTCCGACGTCACATCGAGAGCGAGCGAGACGCCACTTGCAAGCTTCTGGCCAGCAATGCGCTTCAATTGATTTTGGTCAAATATCTAAAGGAAACAGGACAAGTCTGGAAAAAGACTGCGAGGGGCGACCTCGCCCGTCCGCCGGCTGGTTGCCTGGCTGCTGGCCTCACGTGTTGGCGTCGTCTGACCGATCTATTCCAGTGTGCACGTCGCCTCACGCAATGGCCAGCCACATCAACGCATCCAACACGACTCAGCGCTCAGGTAGTCATCGTCGAGTCACATCTGCTAGATCGTCAATGTTGAGTCACAATTAATACGATGGGACACACAGTCAGTGCCGATTAACCAATGAACAGGTACAGCCTCAGGCAGCAGCACGCATGCAAGCAGGTACAATTACGAAGCACCGACACCTGCTGGACAGGCAGGAAAAGTTCATGAAACAGAAAAGTCATCATCATCATTACATCCATCGTACGAGGTATCCTAAGCCAGACCAGCCGCCCATCCACAACGCCAACTAATCCTACAACGACTAGGCACCTCACGCTACCTGCACGAGCTTGAATCCCTCGCCCACGACCCTTGCGATCTCCTCGTTCTTGTGCGGCAGCAGGCCTAGCGCGAATGCGACATCGTTCCACTGCCTCTCTGTGTCGCAGCGCGCCAGACGCGCCGCCAGTTTGTCGGCCAGCTGTCGCGCATGTTTGTCCTTCTCGACGAACCCGAGCAAGAAACGCACAATGCGACGGAAGCTTTCCTCGCCGAGGCCCTTCTCGGCGGACAGCAGGCTGAACATATCGACAAAGTGGTTGTAAACGGCATTGTCCTTGGTGCTGAGCTCGGTGAAGAACATGCGCGCCAGGTCGGCGATGCGTCTGTCCTCGTCTTCGAGACACTTTGCCATTTCGCCGAGCTGGCCCTTGACCTTGACCTGCCCTGCTAAGATGAGGAAGGTCAGAGTCATGAGACACGTACGCTTGACGGACTGGTCGCTGTCGGCAAGACGACGGTAAAGAAAGTCGGTGTTTTCGTCGATCAGGTGGTTGAAGCACACAGCCATGTCACCGAGCGCGATCACAGCGTTGGACCGGACCGTTGCGTCTGTGGACCGCTCCATGATGGTAATGAGGAGAGGGAGGTTTGCCTCGCAATACTCGGAGCTGACGCACATCAGCTTGGCCAGACACAGCGTAGCCGCCGCCTGGAGACCCTTGTCTGCGTATGTCGTGTTGTTGGCGCAAATTTCAGATACCAAGGGGCCAAACTGCGCCAGCAGAGCATTCGAGCCAAAGAGGAGCTCCCGCTCGCGAATATGCGCCATGGCTTCCGTGAAATCATCTTCCGTTGTTCCGCCGATGAGGTCCAGATCATCTGGCTCTTCTGTCTTGTCTTTCTTGGCGGCCGGGTCGGCCTTCGCAGTCTTATCCTTCTCAAGATCCTGCTTCCGACGCTTGAAATCAAGTTCGCAGAGTTCAAGATGCACAATTTGCTTGATGGCAACATGGCCAACGATGAATAGAAGTTGTGAAAGACCGATGGCAGCATCCCGCTTCTTCGGCTGCTGCGCAAATACAGTCTGATTTCCGTCGGCATCGATTCCTTGGGCCATCGTTTGCGTCTCATCGCGTGAGCTCGGACGTGATTGTGGTGAGAACACCTGCCTTGTTTTCCTCCGAATGATGTCGGAACACAGGATGTCAGGGTGCTTCGAGATGGAATAAATGGCGTTGATAGCCTGCTCTGTCATGCCGTACCATTCTTTGCTTTCGGACGAAACCTCAGTGATAGCTGCGAGCTTACCCAAGACGGCGTGGTCATTCGGCAGGCGAGAGAACTTGATGAGTGAGTCTTTGGCCTGGCGCCCTGTCGGATTGATCCTGCGCAGCGCAATGCAAGTAAACTTGGCAAGCTGAAGGTCTGCCCTTCCGTGTGCACCCAGACCGGTACGAAGCATGGTTTCCATTTCGCCAACGACGATTTCTGGGTTGGCTGTCGCCAGCATGCCCAGCACAATGATGGCACCACGGCGTTGGGTCCGCGAAATCTCTCGCTTCTGAACACCATAGACTTGCCACAGTTTTGCAATGACGAAGTCGGGAATGAGACCACCCTTCATCATAGTAGCCAGCAGCTGCTCGAGAGACGTGAGCTCGGCAGGGGAAGCGCCAAATGTCAGACTGATCATGTTGCGCGCAATGTAGTTGGCGGCGTCGTTGGGACTGAATGACTCAGGAGCTTCGAAAAAAAGCCTCTTATAACAGTCAATCAGATGAGTCTGCACACCCTTGCCTTCGTCGCTGTTGCCTTTGGTCCAGATGAGACGCAGCATCCTGCGGATGCCCACCTTGTTCTGCTCGATGTTGTAGGCGTCGCCGACCTCAAAGTAATCCATAGCCTCGATAACCTCGCTCTTGTTTCTGGAGCCGAGGAGCTGGCAAATAGTTCCGGTGGCCTCGTGGAGGACGTCAATGAACTTGAGAGCTTCGCTGTAGTATCTCTTGGTCAGGCCAAGCTTTTCAATAGCCTCTGATGTGGCAGCCTCTTCGCGTGCCTTCTGTACGGCAGCAAATCTCTCTTCATCCGTCATTGTTGGAGCGGGCTTCTTCTGTGGTGACTCCGGCACCTGCGTGGCGTCGTCCAGGAGCTCAGGGTCAACAGTCGTATTGGCGTTCTCACCGAGACCAGGCGCCCCCTCAGGCGGCTGTAGCGCATTCAGCTCCTCGTCAACCTTGTCGAGACGTGCCTGCCACTCCTTGCGAGACAGCTGTGCGCCGTGCATGACGGTGAAAGGGTGTGTCTTGATCAGCGCGCCGAGCAACTTGATGGCATTACGCCTGACGTTACTGCTCTTATCCTCAAGGCTGCGGCATGCTAGCTCGGCGGCCTTTTGCCTCCGCTTAGGGAACTTTTGCTCGAGGTCACAGATCTTGACGTACACCTGGATGGCGCGGCATCGGCAGTAGGGATTGATGTCGAGGAAACGCTCCTCTAGGACATCAAAGAACGCATTGAGCTGTGACTTGTGGTTCTCGCCACGTTCCTCCTGACGGCTGAGATGCGCGACCATGTTGCCACAAACCTCAATGAGGGAGCAACGCAGGGTATAGGACTGGTCAGTTTGTCAGTCGAGGCCACATGTTTGAGTAGAAGCTGCCATACCTCGCTATCGAGCTGCTTAGCCAGCATTGTCATTTGCTTAATCACCAGTCGCGGCGCCAACTCCGAGAGCTTAACTATGAATTGGGATACGGATTTGGGGCCCTTCGTGTCGTTGCTGTTGAACTCCTTGTTACTGAGCTCGCGCAAAATCTCGTCGGCCAGCTGAGGGTAGTCGTATGTCTCGGCAAGGATATGCAGGAACTCAGCCATGGGCTCTGAGAGGTGCTCGAAGTAGGTCAGGTTTTGCACAATGTTGATTTGCGCGGCTGTTCAGCGTCAGATTTCCAGTTTGGATCAGAATGTCGCGACTCGCATACCATATCCATGACCGTGATGCTTGACGGCCATGCAGAGGACCTTGAAGGCGTGCATGCGAATGGACGTGCTCTTGACGCGCTGCTCGCTCTCAAGCACGAGATAGACTGGCCTCGTCAGAAGGCCAATGAAAGTGTCGCGCTCCGAGGTCGTCAAGAAAATCTTCGACAGCTTGAGCTTGAGCACTTTACACATGGTGTCAAGAGCGGCCTGCAGCTGTGCCGAAGAGTCCCAGACGGCCTCCTGGCCCTTGGGCGCATTCTTCTTGGGCTTGCCACGGCCGCGCGCGACGGGCTGAGCGGACGACTTCTCGGCGGCCTTTGTCTCGACGGCGGCAACGGTCCACTGCAGCAAGAAGCCGTAGACCTCGAGCAGGTGCTTGTGGTGGGCGAGGGTCTCCTGGTCGTCAGGAGACTCAAGGTCGTGAAGTATCGCGTCAGCCTCGGCGGCGAGGCCGGACATGACAAGATCGAAGAGCTTGCTCAATGCATGAGTCGGGAGGTAGGAGGTATATCTGGAAAGATTGAATAGCTCAGAAACTGTATCATTCGAAGGGCGCCGGCCGGCGGCGGAGGAAGAAGCGGATGAGGAAGGGAGTTCAGAAGAGGAGGGAAAGACAGATTGACTGGGGGAGGTGGGTGCACACTTTAGGAGGAACTGCAGCGAGTCCATGTACGAGGCGCGCGTGATGGCCTCAGGGTTCTCGGCGACGGCATCGACAATGGGGTTGAGGACAGGGTCGATGACCGCATTCGTCAGCGCGTCCGGCTCATTTTCGCAGTCAAAGAGGGCCCCGTCGGCCTCTGGCGTTGGGATCGAGGCCGGGTCGCTCATGTAGTGTTTCAGAGCCTCGTTGATATCGAACGTAATGGACTCCATGGCCATGGTCGGTGGTGAAGTGTGCCCCTGGGGCGGGGGGGGGGAGAGGGGGGGAAAAGAGAACAAGATGGTGCCGCAAAGAAAAGGCGCGGGGTGGGTGGTAGGTCGGTGTAGAAGAGAAAGGAATGAAGAAGCGAAGGACGGCAACTAGGCCAGCTTTGCGTGCTCGTTCTAGATGGCTTGGTTAGTTGTGGGATGGAGGAGGCCGGCCTTTCTTACCAGATGAGGTACTGAGGATTGTTGTGGTTGCACATCAGCGGCAGGCGGTGATGCGGCAGTGGATGCGCCTGGCAACGGCTGTTTTTGTTTTCTTCGACGCGCCCCCCGCATTGGCTGCTTCGCGTGCGCTCACTGCAGACACCATTGGAAAGCGCCCCACCAACCGTAAAGGACCCCTCCACTCCACACCGACTGTGGAATCGACTTTCGCCATGTGCTTGTCTGAAGGCTGACCAACTGCACGCACCGGAGCATTCCAAACCCTTTGATACCCTCTCTGATACCTTGTATCCTCAAAGTCAATTGCCCAACCACCACTTCTCTCCAAGTCACACATCTGCCTGCCGTAGCCTCTTCCCGCCGCCCTCCCCCCTCCAGTCGCACAGTCTCCTCGTCTCCGACATGACGGCCGTCCGGCGACGCGCTGGCGATGCCTTTGAAATACACGAGGATGTGCCACGCACGGAAGACACAGAAATGATGGTCGAGTCCGAACTCCGCACAGAGGAAGCGGTACCAGAAGAGGTTCCGGAAGAAGTCCCAGATGACAAATACGCCGATTCGGAATACCCAAGCGACGGCTCTTCTCTGACCTCAGAAGAACCAGAGGTCGACTCAGGCGTGCAACAAGAGATGGACAGGCTGCAAGAAGTATTTCCAGGCTTTCGAAACCAGTACCGACTGATTAAGCGCATTGGGGAGGGTGAGCTGCTTCCCTTGCCCCCCTTGACCCATTCTTGTGGACCTGCCTGACACCCCTCCGTAGGCACTTTTTCGACCGTCTACAAAGCCGAGGACTTGCTCTACGAAGAATACGACAATGATTGGGACGTGGACGGACACCATGACGACAGAGATCGCTACGGCAGGATGAAGGCGCGTGCAGGGCGCTTCGTTGCTGTCAAGAAGATTTACGTCACCTCGTCACCATCACGTATCTTTAACGAACTTGAGCTGCTGTACGACCTGCGCAACTCTCCGTCAGTGTGTCCCCTGATCACCGCGTTTCGCTCTACCGACCAGGTCCTTGCAGTTCTGCCCTACTTCCGCCACGAGGATTTTCGCGACTACTTCCGCCAGATGACGATCTCTGATATAGTCGTCTACATGCGCTCACTCTTCATGGCCCTTACCTTTGTGCACGAGAAACGAATTCTGCATCGCGACATCAAGCCAACCAATTTTCTCTACGACCCTTCCTCTCGCCGTGGTGTCCTCGTCGACTTTGGCCTTGCCGAGCGCGAGGGTGTCGATGCGAAACCCTGCCTCTGCCACGAACAGTCCGGTGTCCGGCGCAGTCGTCTGGTCAACAGCGTCGCGCACCTCAACGGCCCTCAGACGGGCTACCCCAAGAACGACACAAGACCCTCGCGCCGCGCCAATCGCGCAGGTACTCGTGGCTTCCGAGCCCCTGAGGTCCTGTTCAAGTGCACAGAGCAGACGACCAAGATTGATATCTGGAGTGCCGGTGTTATCCTACTCACGATCCTGAGCAAACGCTTTCCCTTCTTCAACAGCGCCGACGACGTCGAGGCCATGATTGAGATTGGCACCATGTTCGGCACCAAGAAGATGCGCGCCGCGGGAGCCCTGCACGGCTGCATGTTCGAGACGAACATTCCCACCATTGGCCTCAGTGGCTTCTCCCTTGAAAAGCTCGTGCTGTGGTCTACGTGTCGGTCGCCCAACGATCGCGAGGGCGACCCCAGAGGCCAACCCCTCAACGAGGAAGAAAAGATGGCTGTCAGTTTCCTGGAGAGGTGCATGGACTTGGATCCGGCAAAGAGAATCAGTGCTAATGATGCTCTGGATCACCCATTCTTGGCTGAGGGGCTTCCCTTGGTTCGCGAAGATGCTTATGATGAAATGGCTTTGGTGGAATCTTGATGGAGGAATGCATTTGAGACTATTTCAAGTTTGTACATCAGAGGCACGGCGTCAGGGGCATTATTAGACAGCGTAAGTCGTCACACTGACGGCAGGCACAGAAGCGGCCACCAATACATTAATCATGGTCATGCCCCGTGTTCAAGCCAACACCAGAGGGTGACCTGAACAGCGTGACGCTTGGAAAGCCAATTGAATCGGAGAAGGGCGGGGGCCGTTGCAGAAGATCAACCCTTTTTCATTCGGTTTAACTCCGTGGAAAAATTCATGTCCCCATTCATGCAATGCGCGAGAAGCCATCCCAGGCCCCGGTTTTTGTCCTTGAAAATTTCCATTTCCACAACCGGCTTCTGAAAAGTGACAATGACAAGAAAAGGGGGCGGTTGTTGCTGGTTACTTCAGTAGTCCGCCGACCCGATTGGGAGCTGGCTTGCGAAGACGCCGGCGTGCCGTTGCGTCTCGCGCTCCCACTACCCCGTGATATTGTCCGTCCGTGGTCCCCTTCCCTCCGCGCAGGCTTGTTTTACCTCCCACATCCGTTTTCCCTGGCCAATCGTAATTTATGCGACGAGCTCGACGACACCGCCGGCCTCGGTGATCTTCTTCTCAGCCTGCGTCATGTTAGTGTACTGCGGAGAGGTTTGTGATGCGGAGCGACGAGGTTGGTACTGACCAGCTTGCTGACCCACCTGGCCTTGACGACGAGGGGGATCTCGGGGATGCGGCCCTTGCCGAGCAGCTTGGAGTAGCCGAAGGGCAGGAGGTCGATGACGGGGATGACGTCCTTCTTCTCGCCCTTGATGTAGGCGTCACGCTGCTCGAGGGGAACGAGCGACCACAGCTTGTCGAGGTTGACGACGGGCTTCCAGAAGTGGCTGCAAGGGGGGTTAGCGGGGTCGTCGTGGGAGGGGTTTCGTCTCGCTCGATCCATGTGCTTCGGGGTTGGGGGTCGTCGGTGGATCAGGACAACTCTTCCGCGTCCAATTCCCAGCTCTTGCGCAGAGTGATGGCCAAAAGCCCATCCTTCTCTGATGTCTGCCTGCCTTGACCAATTTGTCCACCGCCCTTCCTCCAAAGCACATCGTTCGAGTCGAGATCGGGGTTCACGTACTTCTGCTGCTTGTGGAAGTAGCGCATACCAACCTTACCGAAGTAACCAGGGTGGTACTTGTCAAGGTTGGTACGGTGGTGGTGCTGACCACCGGCCATACCACGACCACCGGGATGCTTGCGGTGCTTGCCGACACGTCCGTGACCGGCGGACACGTGGCCGCGGCTGTGACATGAGTTAGTGATTGTTCATGGTGTTGTGCGTCTCTTCCTTCCTCGAAATGTCATCTCAGTCCCAGGTCTGGCGATCGTAGTCGGCGCTCCCCAAGCCTTGTTGATTGTGCGATGGCATTGTTGCGCTGCGCTTTTCTTCGTCGACCAGACCGGTTCCAATTCCGACGTCTCGAGTTCAGGGAATTCGAGGGACAACAACGTACTGCTTGCGGGTCTTCGAGAGGCGGGTAGGCATGGCGACGGTGTGTGGTGAGTCGCACTGCTGTGGTTAGTGAAGTCTCGTCGATGTTTTTCGTGGTCGCTGCGAAGATTTCAGAACCTGAGGGCAGAGGCGGGCGTGGGCAATCGGCTGGGTGGGGCGCTAACCGTGTTGGGCGATTTGGTGGAAAGGGCAGGCAGCCCTAAGTAATTGCAAGCTTGGGTCACCTGATTTTATTTTCAGGACAATGCTAGGCATTGATGTATGACTCAGCAGGCCCATCTTCAGTGGGACGTTGGTCTGACTACTGCTCCACCGAAGCTTCACCGTCGACTTCCGTGAGGAGAGGTCTACCAGGTTTGACTTTGCCACAGCGAATGGCAGTGCTGTGGAGGCGATATACCGGTCCTCAGCTCCAAGTCGGACCAAGCTAAGATAGAACAACGAGGTGCCTCGTTATTCGATCCATGCAGTCACTCCCTCCCCGAATGGCACCATGGAACTCCCCGACGAGGTCACCGACTTCCACCACCCATACACTCCGTACGATGTACAAACACAATTCATGACAGAAGCCTATAAGGTGCTTCAGACTGGGAATGGGCAGATTGGAATCCTTGAGAGCCCCACTGGCACGGTAGGTCAATCTCGGTGAACCATATACAAGGCGCTCATTATCGCAGGGCAAGTCTCTCTCCCTCATATGTGCTGCGCTCACCTGGCTACGAAACCATAAATCGCACGAGAACGAGCTGTCTCTCGGCTCTACCGATGTTAACCTCGAGGATGAGCCTGATTGGATCATTGAACAAACCCTCAAACGGAAAAGAGATGACATCTCCAAGAAATGGAAGCAGCGTGAACAGCGCCTTGAGCAAATCCGTGTCAAGGAGAAAGCTCGTGAGGCACGCAGCGCCAAGCGGCGCCGCATTGATGATGGCAACCAGAAGAAAGTACGCAAAAATCCTGAAGACGAAGAAGCAGAATGGTTGCTGGATGATGCAGACGAACCTACCTCGCAGAGCGATGCTCTGTCGGGCCTTGGCAAAGAGACACTAGAAATTTTATCTCGATACGGCCTTGGAGGGCTGAAGCGTGACAAAGAAGACGAGGATATACTCGAGGATGGTGTAAAGGTGTGCTTGCGCTGTCTTAATTGGAACGACATGAGGACTGCTGGTAACGTTATTAGATATTTTACACATCAAGAACGCATTCGCAGCTCTCGCAATTCGTTGCCGAACTCCGTCGACCGTCCTTCCCGTCGTCTATGCCATCGTCGCTCGTGTCGGGTGAACATGGAGCGGCTGTTCAAGCTACCCAAGAACCAGTCAAGCATCTCCCATTATCATCACGACAAAAATTATGCATCAATCCAGCTGTCTCGCGCCTCAAGACGCAGTCGGCCATCAACGACCGGTGTGCTGAGCTGCAGCAACCAAAATCGAAAAACAAGTGCCCGTATGTGCCGAAAGAGGAAAATGTGAATAAGACACATCAGTTCCGGGACACAGCCCACGCAACTCTACCCGACATTGAAGACCTGTTTCATCTTGGCAAGTCTCTAGAAGTGTGCCCTTACTACGCCTCGCGCACCGCGATCGCTGGCACGGAGATCATCACACTGCCGTACCCTCTACTTCTGCAAAAGACCGCGCGTGATGCATTAGGCATTAAGCTTGAAGGCAATATTGTCATTGTCGATGAAGCTCATAACATCATGGATGCGATCGCCAATGTGTATGCATCTGAAATCCGACTGGGTGAGCTGAAGAGGGCACGACAGATGCTTGGCGTCTACGTCAAGAGGTTTGGGAAGAAGCTTAAGGGCGAAAATCGCGTCATGGTCGGCCAGGTAGGTCGTGTAGTGGATGGATTGAGTGGTTGGATGAGTGGCGCCCTTCAACTCAAGGTATGTTCGCCACGCCATACCGAATACACGCTTGCTAATAGCCACAGTCCGAACAGGGCATTGTCGACGCCAAAGAACTCCTGCGCTCTAAAGGCATCGATCAAATCAACCTCTTCAAACTCATCCAGTACATCCAAACTTCCAAGCTCGCCTACAAGATCGAGAGCTACGTGGCGTATGTCGAGGAGGATGACTCGAACAAAGCCGCCCCTCGATCTTCCACGCCTGTTCTTCATACGTTCGTGTCATTCCTCGTTTCCCTCACAAATTTGAGCTCCGAAGGCCGCATATTCTACCAAAAGCTGCCAGGTGCAGCTCCAGATATCCAGCTCTCCTACCTTCTCTTGTCACCAACGCATGCCTTCTCCTCGATCGCCACCAGTGCGCGCGCTGTCATACTCGCTGGCGGTACCATGTCACCGTTCGACGACTATCGCGCGCACCTTTTCCCATACCTGCCCGAGCCAAAGCTCACGACCCTCAGCTGCGGCCACGTTATTCCGCCATCAAACCTCTGCGTACGAACACTGGCTGCTTCGCGAGCTGGCGACGCAAACTCGACATTTGAGTTCAGCTTTCAACGCCGCAGTGATAAGGCGATGGTCAATCAGCTGGGCCTCGCCATTCTCAACATGTGTGCTGTCGTGCCAGACGGCATTGTCGTATTCTTTCCCAGCTATGGATACCTGGACGAGGTCGTTGCTGCATGGGAGACGACTGCCGCCGGCGAATCGACGCCCATCTGGACCCGTATGCAGCAGCGTAAGGCCGTTTTCAAGGAATCCAAGGGGTGCTCCAGCGAGGAAGTGCTCGCATTGTACAGCGAGGCCATCCTAGGCGACGGCACCAGTAATGCAGCAAAGCCACGTGGGGCCCTGCTTCTGAGTGTTGTTGGCGGCAAGATGAGTGAAGGCATCAATTTCTCCGACCGTCTCGGCCGCGCTGTCATGGTTGTTGGCCTGCCGTACCCGAACATGCACTCGCCGGAATGGAAGGCCAAGACGGAATATGTCGAGATGACAGTATTGAAGCGGGCACTGGAGGCGGAGCCAGGGGTGGACCGAGCAAAGGCACAGACGGCGGCGAAGCAGGCGGCGAGGGACTTTTACGAGAACGCATGCATGAGGGCCGTCAATCAGAGCATTGGTCGGGCTATCCGTCATCGCGGAGATTATGCTGCCATTATATTGTGTGACCGCCGTTACGGCACAGAGAGGATCAAGGGGAAGCTACCTGGCTGGATTCAAGGGGGGATCCAAGGAGATGGGCAGGAGAGTGGGTTGCCGCAGCTCATGGGTGCTTTGAGCGGCTTCTTCAGGGGTAAGCGAGGTACTTAGCACTTGGATGACAGCTGCTGTATGTTCGTCTTCGGTTTTTATATACCTCCATGACGCCAGAAGACATGTCCTGATCTTCTACATGGTCTGGATCGAGAGCTACCTTGAAGAAGTGAAAGCCTTGTCAAAATGTTATTTGCCTCTTACCTTGTTTAGATATCAAAACATGCCATAGTTCAATGCGATTTTCTGAAGTTAGTTCTTGTTGTGAACTCACTTTAAAGCAAGTGATCTAGCAAACCTGCGTCGAGGAACATGGATCTCCTGTCATGGCTGCCCAGCTGTTGTTCTCGGCGCAACTGTGAACAGCTTTCTGGTTGCCTGGGATGATGTCGCGCAGCCCATAGCAACCACCCAGCGCGCTCTTTCCTTCGATACCAGCATCTTCTGACAATATAATGAATTCTTGTAATTCCCTTTTCCAACAATTTATTGTCCCGTTGGCCTGATGGTTAGGTGCCCAGATCTGCCTCCTGCCAGGTAAGCCGCCAGTCGTACTGATGCTTGGGACGCTTTGAAGGGGGGCTGGGGTTCATCTCCCGGTCTACCTACCCGGTTAACACTTTTTTTTCTCTTTTGCACCTAGTCAACAGGGTCGTCCCAAGTGACTGGTGCACTGGCAATATTTGCAAGTTTTGCACGTAGTATGGATTGTGTGTTTTGGGCCTTCTATTGCGTGAGACACTGTTCTGAGCTGTTGCGATGCTCACTCCATTTCAGTAAATGCGGTACCTTGAGCTGGTACGTCTTTACGAAAAGCCACGAAGCTACTAGGATATCAAGTCTGCAGCCTGAGAGTGACCTACCGACGAGCCAAAGAGGCCTGTACTGTCAGGCTTAGACGAAGGACATGGTGGCAAGGAGTGTATAGCTCCCCTATATTGGCTTCGACTTTGTTGGTGATAGACAAAATGAGGTAGGCGCCTCGCCTTGTACGTCCCAGGTTACTATTGGCCTCGTTGGCAGATAAGTGCACGCCAACTCGAAACTACTTCTACGAGAACTTGCACAACTGCAAGATACGCTTAAAAGGCTTCTTTACGTGAAGCTCGCTAATTATCTTAAACGAGTTTTGCGGTCCGCCTGATGACTCGGATTGGAACAGCTGATCCGGGTGCGATGGGCGTGCGCGAGGTCAAATAACAAGCCAATTTAAAAGGGGTAACACGATGCACCTATATCTGATTCAGAACAGTAGATTTCCTTCTATGTGGCAAGGACATCAATTGGTGAGTGTCTAGCAGTATGCTACCTGAGAAGACAGCACAGTGCCATGATCCTTGCGCACATGAAGCTAAACACAGTGCTGCCATTATCCGACATTCGTACATCTGAACGATCCCCCCCAGCAAGGAAAACCCAACCTTCCTATTCACGCAAAATTGTCAATCTTCGTCCAGAGGTTCATACCGAGCTTCGAGCCCTTCTCAATCGGCAGGCCGGCGTGCAAAACTCGGTCGTCACCAACCATCTCGCCATCCTCACCCTTGACCAGGTTGGTCCAGAAGACGGCATTACTGTGAACTGTCAGTTCTCGTCCATCGGCCAAGCATGTCTAGATCGAACTCACCCCTCAATCGGCCTGAATGTCACACCCTCCTCCCTCGCCTGGTCGCACTCGACAACGCCACACCAGCCGTCACCCTCGGGCGCCGCCAGCTTCGGGAACTTGGTGCCTCCGCCGGCAATGTCCTCGCTGACGGAAACGTACGCGAAGAAGCTGCTGACGCGGTTCCCGCCGCGCTCGACCGATGCGTGGCCGTTCTCCTTCGTGTTCTCCGCGGGGAACCAGTCGTGGTGGAAGTGGTACTGCTCGCCGACGGCGTAGCGAACGAGCTGGATGGGCTCCTGGTGATTCGGCGGGAGGTCGAAGCTCTGGAAGCGTCGGGCGCGCTCGGAGATGCAGCTCGTGACGGGGTCCACGCCGACGGTTGTCGAGGACGAGGTTCGGTGGGTGGAGACGACGTCGCCCTCGGCGCCAGCGACGTTGGAGCGAGCGAATGTGCCATTGCTGGAAGTTGTGAGAGGGCTGTTCCCCGGCGAACATGCAGCAGCAAAACTTACGTGATTCTCTGAAGGTGCTGTCGCTCAAAGGGCGTGACAAAGTTGGTGATGTAAATGACGAGCGGGCTCTGAGAAAAGATTGAAATTTCATAGTTTGAGGTGTCGCATACGTAGTCGGCAAGAGGATCCTCCTCTTGAGCTTCGACGGCTTCTTCGCTGACCGCGTCCGCAATGTTGGCCTGCGCAGCATCGTCGGCGACGACAACCGTCACAGCCTCGGCCTGTTCAGGAGTCTCATCGCTGTGGCTGAGAGCGGTGCCAGCAAGAGCGAAGAGCGCCCCGACGACTGAGGAGCGCATATCGAAGAATCTACCCACGTGCTCAAGCTTTGATGACAGTCGAGCCTTGATTCTGAATTGAATGTGATTGACTTCAGAATCGCTTTCACTTTTCAGTTTGTCGACAGCAATCGGTGAGAATAACGAGCACGCCTCGCAAGGGATGTTGACCTCAAAAGAAGATGGCATCAGGCCACTTGGCTGCCTTGTCCGCTTAGTTTTCTCCAATTTTTGTTGCCCACCCCCAAACAAGCAATCATCCGCGCTCATCCGGAAGAGGCCATTCGGAAGTCTCCTCCGCACCATGGTCTGGCCCAGCGAGATGGAGAATCCCTGGGCTAATCGGAGCCCAAGCCCAAGTCACATCGGCCCCTGAACCACCTCTGCGGGGAAACGGGCCAGGGGTCGCATGAATGGGGTCCAGCAGGGGTCGGGGCTAAAGTGACGCGTTGTCCCCAACCCGGACAATTTTCTCTCATCTTCAGACATCCCCCTACCTCCTTGACAGGTCTCACTGACGCTGCGGTTCGATCTGGTTGAGGTGGCCTGCCAAGACCCCCAAAAAGGCTGAAGACATTCGAGACGCCCTTGCGGCGCACCTACCCGCGGATCTGCACCCCCGAGAAGCCGCTTTAGTACTGTAGTCGGAGTTGGGGGTGCCGAGGCGGAGGGGAAAGCTCTTGTGGGGTGTTTGTTGCCATATTACGGTTACAATAGTTGGGAGCTCTCTCGCGCACGGCGTTTGGCTCTTGAAAAGGAAAAAAGGACACATGTGAGGGTGACGGGCTTTCTCCTCTTTGCTTCCTCTGTCGCAACACGACCATCCTCGGCCGAGAACGACAAAGGAGTATACCACGACGACGGTCGCCATTTCTTGAAGCAAAGACATCGGAACCATTGGATCGTGGCCATGACACGCATCCTGAAGCTCGGCTGGCTCAGTCTCGCCATCGCCTCTGTCGCAGCCTCTAGTGACGCGGCGCCGAGCCAGGAGACGACAAAATGGAGCGCTTTCGAGCACGTCAACGAAGCTCAATTCAGGAAGGCCATCAAGGAGAACCCATATAGTCTTGTAGCTTGTGAGTGTACCCATTTTGACGTCAAGTGCCCACGCTGACTGAGATACAGTCACAACTGTACGTTGATCCTCTGGTCTGATTTTGTTGACAAAGGTTACTGACGAAGGCGCGATTGGCAGCCTACCAAGTGAGTGACCTCAGTCATACCATGCGAGGGCTGTGACTGACACACGCAGCTTTGACAGCGAGGCCCTCGAGTGGGAATGGCCCGCCATCAAGGAGAAAGAACCCAACGTCCTCTCGGTCGACTGCGCCGCCGAGCCCGAACTCTGCCTCGAGCACGACGTGAGGGCGTACCCAGCTCTGCGCTTCTACCGCAGCGGCAGCCTCTACGCCCGTTACCGCGGGCCTCGCAAAGCCTCCTCGTGCGTTCTCACCCCCCCTTCGTTGAGTGACCAATTCTCGAAGCCTAAGCCCGGCCTAACCTTTGAACCACCCTGTGCTGCAGTATCCTGCCCTACATGCAACGCATCATGCGCCCCGTCGTGGTTGGCCTCGAGGCCGCCAACCTGACGTCCTTCAAAGACTCGGACGACGTCGTCTTCATCCTCCACCTGCGCGGCCAGGACGCCGGGCGCGGCCTCTACAAGCGCTTTCACGACCTCGCCGAAGAGTTCCACGACCGCTACACCTTTGCCATTGCCAGCCGCGCCACCGACGGCTCGGCCGACGAGCTCGGCGAGGACGCGCCCAGCGTGCTGCGCTGCTTCAACCACCGCGACGGCCGCGAGGCCGAGCTCGACCACTTCTTCCAGGACGTCGGCTCGCTGCGGCGCTTCGTCGTCGGCTGCGGCGAGAGGCTCGTCAAGCAGCTCACGCGACTCAACGCCTGGGGGTTCACCGAGGGCACCGACCCCGTGCTCTACTACTTTGACGCCGACCCGGAGGCCCGCGCCCGCTTCGCCGACGACATGTTGCCCGTGGCCAAGGAGCATGCGGGCCGCGTCACGCTCGTGGCCGTCGATCCCTTTGTATTTCCCGAGGTTGTCAACCGCGTCGGGCTGCCGTGGGACTTTCCGTCCCTGGCGCTGCAGAACCCCGCCACCAAGACCATGTCGCTGTTCAACAAGGCCGAGATCAATGCCGGCGTCGTGGGGCGGTTCATTGCTGATGTTTTGCAGCTGAATCCGCCAGCGCCGCAAGTGGGCGCTGCTGAGGAGGCTGTCAAGGCCGTGCCTGAGGTGTCCGAGGTGCCCGAGGTACCTGAAGACGAGGGCGTTGTGCTGGAGGACAAGGACAAGGAGCATGATGAGCTGTGATTTGTATACTCCCCTGATCATACTTTTACTGTCAAGACAAACAGTTCGTACAATTGAGCCATTTCTCGCACTCATTCGTACTCGCACACCTCGACTTCATGGAGAAATGAGGCGTTAAGGAGGGGAAAAAGATTTGGGCGGGCCAGGATTCGAACCTGGGTCTCCCGAAGACACCGACCCTGGACTGCGACTGCTGGTTATTTTTTTATTCGTTCTTTTTTTTTTTTTGGCCCCTGACAAAGACTGCTGGTAGGGTCTCCAGTGTCTGGGCGTCATACCACTAGACCACCCGCCCTTTGTTGGGAAGCCATGGGCCTCGCGGGTTCTGAAGAAGGGCAGAGAGCTGGGAAGTGCTGGTGAAGGGGTCCTTCTGTTGAGGGAAGGAGGCCGAGGGGGGCGTACCTGCCCTTCCTGCTATCGCGCCTGCCGAAGAGGACAGGTGCGTTGGAGAAGGAGCTGGCTGTCCCGGCAGGTACTTCCCCAGGTTGACAGGCCAGTCTGGAGCCATGCACAAGAAGGCATGAGGGTCGAGGATCAGACAGACCTAGGCAAGGTAGGCACCTTGTCTTAGGCGCCTTGTCTTAAGCGCCTTGTCTTAGGTAGGTACCTACATAAGGCAAGGTAAGGTAAGATAGGTAGGTAATGTATCGTACATTCATGCTCCGAAAGTCGACGTCTCCAACACCGCTGCTATGCATACCTAATCTAGGAAGCCTGGCATCATAGAATCCCAAGTCCCCGGGGACTTCCCTCGCTCCTCCTTGCCCGCGCCGATCGGAAAGTCTGACGCAGCGCCTTTTTCCAGTCCGAAAACCTCTGCAGCTGTCCATCAACCATGATCTCGCCTGGCTGCAGCTCCTTCAGTAGCGGCGGCACATTCATGAAACTGTGGTTCGGGCCGCATGCCGAGGTGTGCCCCGGCGAGAAGCTTCGTTGTTTGATGACGTTCTCTAAACACGGGAGGCAGAAGAGCGTGTCGATGCAGTACACGCACACAACGTACTCCTCCTTGCTGTCGAACCTTCGCAGGCAGTAGTCGCAGGAGAGGCCCGGCGTAAAGTTGCCCGTAGGGGAAAAGACCTTGCCCAGGCTGAGCTCGCTGGCCCGCCCTCGCTTTGGTGAGACGCCTAGTCGCGGCGAGCTGACGCGTCGCTCGGTCATGAGGTTGCTTGACGCAGTAGCGGGATTGACAGGCGTACGCGTCGACTGCCACAGCGCTCGTGCGTTGCCCAGATCGCCCGCTGCGATGAGGGTTCGCTGCAGGTTGCGGATGCCAATCTCGTCATTTTGGGGCTCGTCATCTTCGAGAATGTCGAGATGATCCGCCACAAGCGATGCCGCGAGCTCGCGCGCCTCGTCGGGCCGGTCGCGGAAACGGTAGAAGAGCACAAGGAAGATGGACGCCTCGTTGACGTCAAAGCCTGCCATGTGGAGCGGAACGTTGCGGTTCTGGTGCTTGCTTTGCTGGGCCTGGAGCTCCTCGAGCTTGACGATCCAGGGGTCCACCGCCACGGTGCGCAGCGTACCATCGTTCTGGAGCGCCTTGAGATAGTACAGACAAGCGAGGTTCTTGAACGAGTTGGCGTACTCCACACGCACTGCAATGCTGCCCCGTGGCTTCCACTCCTGACAGATCTCCTCCTGAATGGCAATGGCCCTATCATAGTCACCAGCGGCACGGTATACCTGGCCTAGAGCATTGCGAAGGTAGAATTCGGACCGCGAGTTTTGGGCGTCCTGGGCCAAGGCAATGGCCGCTTGATATCTCCGTGCGATTGTCGCCGTGTTGTTCGTCCGGGCCGCAGCCTCAGGGATCCAATCCCGCGTCGAATCATAGCCGATCTGGTCGAGCATAAACCATACCAGCCGGGAATGCCCTTCTTCCGTGTAGCGCTCGTCGAGTTCCTTGAGAAGCTTCATGATTTCCGGGATGCGGTTATTCTCGGCGAGAACTCGCATCAATGCAGCCTCGGGCTCGAAAGGTCTTGCGTCGTACGCTTGCTTGATGGCCTCGCGACAATAGGTGAGCGCGCTCTCGACGCGACCCATTTGTCGGTAGCAGTTTGATGCTTCCTTCAAGGCCTTGTAGAGCCGCCATCGCGCGCCAGCCACCATGTCAGGCGTTGCGTTCTTGTCTTTGATCGTCCTCTCGTCGACTGTAATGGCCATGAGATGAAAGCGAAGGGCCTTGTGGTAGTCGCCGGCCCGATAATAACAGATGCCCATGCGGCCAGCCGTCTCCTGAATGTTGCGATCAAGCTCCATCGCGCGACTGAAATTGAGCAGCGCCTTTCCGTAATTGCCCAGATTAAGCAGAGTACTGCCGATTCTTCGGTACCAGTGGGCCCCCTTTGGCAGACTTGCCCACTTGGCCGCTATCTGAACGCGAGACTCGACCGACATGTCCTCCCAATGTGTATCTGAGTCGGACCACTTGTGACCGCGACTCATCAACGCCAGACATTGCACTACACCGAAGCAAAACAGCGTGGGCATGTACATGCCAAAGTCTTCTTTGAGCCAGGCATCAGCAAAGACGCTGCCCATTGGGATCAGAGGTCCAGAAGGCGTCTTGACAGCTTCCACAGCCCAGGCCACGGCGTCAGGCGCGAGCCCACTGATGACATCTGGATCTGACAGCCAGGTCCTGACAACCTCAATATTTTCGTCGGTCCAGATGTCGAGGGCTTCCTCGAACAAATTTGTCCAGGCCAGGATGACAGGTCGCTCAGTCAACATGATATGGAGAAGTTTGCCAATCTGAGCCTTGTCTTCAGGAGACAAGCTGTCTCTGTCGAGGTGTTCGAGGTGCTCTTGCCAGTACCAGGCCGCGTACTTCTGCAGTGACAAGCCCTGGGCGCCGAACGCTGGATAGTTTGGTTCTGTAAATATGCGCAGGCAGGTCAGAAGAACATGAAGTTTTGCCGCAGCGAATTCAAAGCCAATCGAGGGGTGGTCGCTTGACAGGCGCAGATCTGTCGAACAGTCATCGCGAAAAAAGTCGCTAATGGACGCGTGGAAGAACGACACGGACGTGGTGTGCTTGTTGGACCGAAACTCAATGGCATCCGGGCCTTGGGAGTTCGGGCTGCGTCGTAATGGTGTGTCCGAAGTTCCTATTGCTTGCATCTCTTGCTGGTGTTGTTCGACAAGTTCGGCCGTCGACATTCCGTCCTCCCGCTCCAAGGTAAAGAAGGCCGCGAGCTGTGTCCGGAGAGACTCCTCCAGGCGTAGAGGGGGGTCGCCGAATTTGAGAGCAAGGATGACCTCGACCTGCTCCAGGGTCAACGTCATCTCCGCACATGCCACCCAGCGCAAGACTTCGTTGAGATCGTCTGCTTCAGCCTGAGTAATTGTTTCTGAGAACCTCAAAACAGATTGTCGAAGCATGCCGTTGATTTCCTGGGGGTAGGACTGCAGTTTCTCGAGAATACCCCGCGCGTGACGCTCACGTCCGAGTTCGGCCAGCATAAATTTCGCCAATATGAACTGACCGCTTCCATCAACCTGTTTCGTCATGACCGATACAATCTCTTCTCTAAACGAAATAGGGGTTCCGCGTAGAATGCGCGCTTCGTTGACACCTGCTGTGATGTATGAAATGACATCCTGTCCGTTACGGTCGGCGGTGACATGCAGGATTCGAAGCTGCTGGCCATTGGTCGAGTCATTCTGGAGAGGTGGCAGAACCGTCTCGGACATAGCGTTGCGTCCAAAGAGAGCCACTTGGACCCTGGTGCCACCCGGAGACTGCTTGTTGAGCCCATCCAAAAGCGAGATGAACTCACGCAGCTGGACTTGATCCGCTTCGTCTACACCGTCAAGAAGGATGTAGATGTTGCGCTGCCACCGGTCGGGAATGCAAGGCTCAACAAGCAAGCGTCGGAATGCACTGGAGACGGTCTTGATGTCGTCACTGCTAGACAGGATACGCAAGAGCTGCTTTCCGTAGAAAACGTCGACCTCGCTGACCTGATACGCGATGTCTCTGAGAGCTTGAATCATGGACCGTGTCTCTGGGTCAGTCTGCCGAAAGAAGAAGTAGCCCAGCATATGACTTGTCTCCTGTTCCTCCATCATGCGGAGCCCCCAGCGGACCAAGCGTGCTGTAAGGTGACTCTTGCCGGTGCCTGGGTTGCCGCAGCAGAAGAGAAAGCGACACTGCCCGGACAACCACGCATCAAAAGCGGGATCTTGCAGAATCCATTCGCAGGTACCCGGAGTGCGCGTGCGATCGAGCGCTTCATACGTGTCTTGCGGGAAGACACTTGGCTGCAGGATGTCTCGGAGCTTGTCGCGGTTGGAGTTGAGAGCCTGTTCTCTGGTTTCGGTGCGCAGCGTCTGCACGTTGACATCAACCCTGGTCATCATCTCGAGGAGACGCTCTTGGTTCGAGAGTGACTGTTTCACACCAGCCATTGTCTCGGCACCGACGAGGCGGCCCTCCGCCTCGGTCAAGACAGCCAAGCGCTTGAGTGCCTCGGGTACTGGGCTCTCATGTCCAAAAAGACGCTTGAAGTAGGCCTTGAGGCGACCGCGTCGCACCTCGGCGGCAGCCAAGACGAAGATCTCAAAGACTGTGACGAGGATGGTGACGAGCTTGTCACGTAGCTCGGGAGACAAGTGCTGAGAAACGTAGAATCTCAGACGGGATGTGAAATCTTGCATCTTCTCGAACAGCTCAATAATGGAGTCGTAGCAGGCCGACACGTCCTTGGCGGCGTTGACGAGGTACATGACAGCGGCAAAAATGTTCTGGCTAGGCGCAAACACCTCGGAGGCAGCACCAGCCAGACTCTCACCGACGACCTCGATGGGCATCAGGGCTGCAGACATGGCGGAGAAGATGCGCTGCCTCTTGGCGCGGAAAGCCTCGAACTGCTTGTTCTGGCGGGCGATGACGGCGAGCATGTCCTCGACGGAGGTCATCGGCGGGTTCATGTAATCAGAGAGGTCCTGATCGGACGACTCGGCATACTTTTTCTGGGCATCGTGAATAATGGCGGCGAACTGACGCTGCATGCCACTGTCAGTCCGCCGCAAATCCTTCATGTCGGGCTTTTCGGTCATGGCGGTTGGATGAGGGGCAGAAAGAGGGGCATGGAGGATCGTCGGCAGCTGGTCGACTGCTTTAAGGTCAGTCCTTTGCGGCTCTGTTCTGTCGGTGCCTCGAGTGAGGCTCCGTGGCGAAGGGAACACGAGAGGGCAGCGAGCTGAAACGGGTAGCCAAGGGTTCGTAACGAAGAAGTAAACTGAACAAGTGCTTGCGCCTCATGGAGCAACTCGGCGGTTGGGCAGTCCTCAGGAGAGCCAGCCCTACGCCTTGTGGTATGGTACGGCGGCTCATCATTGGAGAGTAGAGGCGGTGACGGGATCCTGCAGATCCGACCACTGGGCTCTGTCGCGTCCAGAGTGGAGGCACGGGCTATGCCAATGACTGGAGCCTGGGGGAACTGGGGAAACCAGGGAGGGGCCGTCCGTCAAGGGGTGTTTCTTGCCCATCGTCGCGGCATACATGACGAATCCATGTTCAGTAGACCTGGCAGCCTTGTGATGGCGACCTTGTTGATGTTGCTGTTGGTGTTGGAGACGATGCATCGGAGAGGAAGTTGAACCGCGGTTGCCGCACGAGTTAATTCGGTCAAGCGTGGTGACACACACGCCATGGCATCTGGGGGAAGAGCAAGACGAGATACAGTGCTGACGTAAACTCCTGAGCCGTCCGTTGTGCCTTGAGCGCTGTGCCTCAGCGCCGTGCCTCGAGAGCTGTGGGGGCTGTGATGTCCATGGCCGAGCGCCTTCTGCGCAGCGGAATTTTAGTGGGATGCGCGCTGATGTTTCAGGGCCAACGCCCTTGGTCGACTGACTGACTGACTGACTGCCAGGCTTTCATCACTCACATCGACAACCTCACCAGCGATGGACTGACCTAGAAAGGGAACTCGGAATATTCCTACTCTATTGGTATCGCGAGAAAACCTACAAGGCCATACACTTGGCTGCCTAAAAGATGCCTGGAATAAGTCAGAACGAATGACTTGCCGCCATTCCCTGCTTAACAAGTTCGACAACTGGATACAATAAGGCTGCGACCATGGTCAACTGACCGAAAGAGAGGCCAAAACGGCGCTTCCGAAAATGAACATCCGGAAAGACGCGTCGTTTTCGACACATCACCTTCGAGTCAACCTTTCATTAGCCGCCACATCTCCTATCCGCCAATCTGGTCGCAGTAGTACCGTCATGTTACGTTCTCTAGGCTCACCACGTCTGAACGCCCTCCGGCGCCACGATCTTGCCGGCATCACCATCCCGCTCGCCCTCGACGACGGCTCGAATGAGCTCTCCGCCAACATCTGGACCGACTGCGCCATGCTTCTTCATCGACTCGGCATCTGCACCAAGCCCCGTGATCAGGAAGCCTGGCATGACACCCCAAACCTTGACTTTATCCTCCGAGAGGATGTGATGCCATGACAGCATGAGCATGTTGACAGCTGTCTTACTCGTGCGGTAGCCGACAGGCCCTAGCGTCTCAGGTCCCGACGGTGCCCGTGTCGTCTTGGGCCATCCTGCGGGCGGCACCGGCCACGGCTCTGGGCCCTGGGCCATGGTTTCAAACGTCGACAGCTTGCTCGTCAGGAAGACGAGGCGAGGATCCGATGACCTCAACAGAAGTGGCGCCATGGTTTCCGTCAAGACATGAGTGCCTGATACGTTGGTGTCGAACATTTTGTTGAACGCCTCACGGACAGTCATGTTGGTGCCTGCTACAAAGTCCAACGCGTGTCCTGCTGTCATCAGTCGCGGCACCTGGCTGAAGCCCTTTAGTCACACCGAACGTACCATCGTTGTTGACAAGGACATCTATACGACCATGTGATCCCTCAATACGCTCATACGCCGCCTGTATGGAATGGTCGCTGTCGATGTCGAGTTGTAAGATCTCAATGGTGCTTTCCGACGATGGCACTTCTGCCTGGAGCTGCTCTTTTGCTGTTTCTCCCGCGTCGGCGGACCGTGAGCCCAGGAGGACATGATACTGCTGCTCAGAGCCAATGAGGGCTTTGATGGCCTCGTACCCAACGCCAGAGTTGGCGCCGGTGATCAAGACGATACGCTGACAAGTCATGTTCAATCTGATCTTCGATGTTGGGATTTGTCTCTCCCTCTCTCTCCCACTCTTCCCTTCGCCAAGTCACCAAGGCATGCCGCTCTTATCATTCATGGCACAGCCACAGTTGAGGAGGCGACGGCCGGATGTGACGTCGGCCCCCCCAAACTCGGCGGCCCCACCCGGTGATGCTTCGGGGCAGTCATCGCGAGCGTCTGCCGGATGACAGTGGCACGATTGATTGGCCGCACGGCCAGACGACCACACCCACAGTCGCCCCCAAGGCGCCCGTCGATCGCCTTCAATCGGTCCAGTGTGATCCCTATGACGCCTTTAACACATGCAGCTTTTGTGCCCGCACCCTGGTTTTCGCTCTGGTGCCTTGGTTTCTGCTTTTTCTGCTCGAGCTAATTCGATCCCTGAGGAGCACATTGGACAGGATTAACCTTCACGATACATGCGCTCTTCGATACCTCCATCTTGATCGATTTTCAAGGCCAAGCCGTCGCCTCCCGAGCACGCCACCACGACCCCCTCGCCCTGCTTCGCCGCCGCTTCGCAGCCACTTCTCAGAACTCACCAAGCTCAACCTGCCGCCGGACCTGACAATGGCCATCGAGAATGTCGCTCTCGTCGGCGCCAACGGCACCCTCGGCTCCGTTCTCCTCGCTAAGCTTGTCGACTCGGCCGCTTTCAGCCTGACAGCCGTCATCCGCAACGGCTCCTCCTCCTCTCCGCCCTACCCCACCTCCCAAGTCCGCGTCGTACATGTCGACAAGGAACTCACCTTCGCCTCGTTGAAGGCGGCGCTCACCGGCCAGGACGCCGTCATCGCCGCCTTCCCTCTGAAAAGCCCCGACGCACACATTCGCCTTGTCGAGGCGGCCGCCGCAGCAGGCGTCAAGCTCTTCATCCCCGCCGACTTTGGCAGCATTGACGCTGACAATGCGCGCGCGAGGGAGCTGGTCCCCCTCTATCGGCATAAGCTTGCTGTGCGGGTGCGCGCACAGGAGCTGGCAGATGAGCATCCCGGCTTCACCTGGGCGGGTATCGTCTGCGGGCACTTTTTCGAGTGGGGGATCACGGAGGGCTTCTTCCACACGGACCTGAAGCGGCGCACGGCTGATATATTTGACGGCGGGAGCCATCGTGCCTCGACAACGACCTTGACGAGGGTTGGCGAGGCTGTCGTGCGGATTCTCAAGATGCATCCGCGCGAGGACATCAAAAATAGGACGCTGTTCATCCAGAGCTTTTGCATTGACCAGAATGAGCTGGTTGCGTCGCTGGAAAAGGCCACGGACGCCAAGTGGACCGTCAACGATCTTGAGTCGGAGGCCTTCATCAAGGAGAAGAAGGCCAAGGCGGACGGTGGTAATGTGGCTGCTGCGGAGGATTTGGTTTTTGCGATTGGAACGCTCGACGCGGACTGGACGCAGAGAGATGACTTTGCTATGAAGCTACTTGGCTTTGCGGACGAGAATCTGGACGAAGTCATCGCCTCGGTGTTGAGCGGTTAATGCATAGGGTGCTGAGAGATCTATGAATTTCCATTGAATTTTTTTGAGGTCATGGCGATCCGGTGCCAATGAAAGATTGCCTATACGTGTGCTATATTCGTACATTTGGGCACATATCATACTACCCCCGACATGTTGAACCAGTAAGGAGGGCTGTACTAGCTATCGAGCTCGGATGGCATCCCGCAACGTTAACAGTCAGTGAACTCGAACCATACACAGCTGGAGCAAACCTGATCAACTTTTGAACTGTGAAGTTCACTTCATCCTTCTCTACCAAAGCCCAAGCACTTACTGCCACAAAATTCTCCCCCTTGTTGGAGCTTGCTCGGAATGTTGGGTTATCACGACGAAGCCGGCAATGAGATGAATTTATGAGGCTTAATACAATTTAGAATCGTTGTCCACAAAAGTGTTGCCTTCGTGATTCCAGCTTATAGAGCTCAGCTGATATTGATACGTCCATCGGGAGAATGAAGCTTGCCACAAAACCAAGAGGTGGGAACGAGCTGCTGGGTCTATCTGTCATTTGCCCTAGCCAACTGAACGGTTGATGGGAACAGTAACCGAAAGATTCACTTTGAGGTCCGACCTACATCTGGCAATGCTCCAGGGCGACGCAGACAATGACGCCGTTTGCATATTTGTGATGTCTCCGAATTGCTTCAGCCACCACTGGAAAGACCTCGGCGAGGCAGGACTGAGCCAGCACGGGAGCACCCCCTCAACGCGAACTAATTTTGGCACATGGGTGCAAAACCTGTGACCGGATACAACATGATAACTGGATCGCAGTAGCAGGTTTGGAAGTTTGATGCGAAAAGCAACTTCATTGGCGCGCTCAATGGTCTCGACGGCGAGGTGAAGATCGTCTTCAGAAATACTGGGGGAAGATTTCGCATTTGTTGCAAATGAAGGCAATTGATCATCAGACTTGTGCCAAACTTTTCGTGCGGGCCGTCACAAGCCTCCTCTTCTTGAAGTGATAGTTGCTGTGGCACCGAGGCAATTGCAACAGGCTGAACTCGACACTCGTGGCTTGGTGGCACCGAGCACAAAGGGAAACGAACAGCGCTCTCACTTGATGTCTTGTCAGATTGCGACACAGGAAAGGCGTGGCTTGAGGCGAGTTCTTATTGAGCTTCCTAAACAAGACCCTTGACCTTCCACGACGAGTAAAGCTCACCAAAAGCCGGTCGACCGTGGCCAAACGATTCGCCGTCGTGGCTTGAGTGCCGAGCGGTCCGCGCCGCCGATCCTGCACCTCAGCCGCTGATCGGCGAGGCGGACTCATTCCGCAGTGCCACGATGCGTACAATCAGGGGCTCAAAAACACACGAGTCAAGGAATTTGAGAGGACGAAGCGACTAGAAAAGGAGTATTTAGGCGTGCTGCGTTGACGATCATTTGGCCGGAGCCTCGGGGAGTACGGATGACGTCGGAGGAGGCCGACGGCGACACTGATCTCAGATATAAAAGATGCGTCTTCCTCATTGATTAGATTAAATGTAGACATCACCCATCGGAAATCAGCAAAATACCTCAAATTCACAATGCCCAGATTCAACTTGACAATCGCCGTCCTCGCTCTTCTCGGCGTCAGCCAAGTCCAGTCTCAGTGCACTGGGCCGAATGTGAACGCCGCCACAATCAGCCTCATCACCGAGTTCGAGGGATGGTACCCTAACATTTGTACGTGATAAGCCTACGAGCCTCCGTCTAAAAGGCCAGGAACTGACTGCCGCAGATATTGACCCAGTCGGTCTCCCGACCGTCGGATACGGCCACTTGTGTGCCGACTCGAGTTGCTCGGATGTCCGATACCCCATCCCGCTGTCCCGCGCAAATGGCGAGCAACTCCTCCGCGACGACATTGCAGTAAGCTCCCTTCTTATTCTAACCTAACATTCAACCTAACATGACAGGGCTTCCAAAATTGCATCACTCTCCAGACAGCTTCCTCCGTCGTTCTGAATGCCAATCAGTACGGAGCCCTCGTCTCCTGGGCCTTCAACGTCGGTTGCGGCGCTACCAAAACGAGCACTCTAATCCAGCGCCTCAATGCCGGCGGCAACCCCAACACTGTCGCGGCCGAGGAGTTGCCCAAGTGGAACAGGGGTGGCGGACAGGTGCTGCCCGGACTGACCCGGCGCAGGGCTGCGGAGGTCGCGCTGCATCGCACGGCGACAAGCGCGGGAGCCCTGCCGGCGTGCTCGTAAAAGGGCTATGTAGACGGAGAACTATCTGTTCAAAAGCATATCATGACAATACGTATTAGTCAAGTGGATTTTATCACCCGCGCCTGTACGGGGCCACACAGATTTGTGACCGCGTACCATCGTGCATTGTCCAAAATGGGATGTCCTGGCAGGCTCAGCCCCGCTAGACATTATGTAGACTTGTTGAAATGCTGGATCAAACACTGTTTGGAAAAAAAGGAAACCACGTTCGTGAAGAAGCGGATGATGCAGAAAAGAAGAGCACTTGACTTAGGGGTATGCACTATCTAGCACATCGTCCGATTCACCACCAGTTCAAATATCAGCATACATTGGTGCTAGAAGAAAGTAACAAGATAGATCGAAGATCAAATTTCTTGAACATGGGAAACCAGTGTTCCAGTATGACTCGACGTAACTCAGACGCCGCTTCCGTCCGGGAGGTCTTGTGTCATGACTTTTTCAATTCCTTACAGCAAGTCGAACCCCTCATTCCCACAGCAGACTTGAAAACGTGAAAGGCTTGTGGTTCAATATATCAAGTGTTCGCTCGAAGTTGTGACTTAACTTGTCAATCCGTCATGACTGTGCACGTATTTCTGATTTGCGGCCGGGTACAGTCCTTGATACCAGGGGCTAACACAGGGAGCAACGACGAGTAGAATGCACTCCATGGAATCCATCACCCGACATCACGCGAAGCGTCTGTGTAACATCATGTATTTTAGCATAACAATTTTAGGCCGCTCTATCATTCCAGTTCGAGCTCCTCCCCTGGTGACCCTGACGATTTATAGGGTCTCTCTGACAAGTACCCCATAACCCAACACCGTAGAGATGACAACGCCAAAAGGTAACGACACGAAGAATCTGTGTTCAGACTCAGACTGTTTGACAAGGACATAGACAGAATCATCACCGCCATCGCCGGGCTCTGGACAAGAGACACCCGATCCGCCCAGAGGAAAACATCACGCTCAGCTGATCACCCGTCGGTCCCGAGCGGATGAGTGTTAGTAAACTCCGCGGACATGTCCTCACCTCACAACCCCTCTCACCCCCCAAAATCGCGAAACACAGAATCGTCCGGAAGGCGCGTTTCGCACCCCCCTCCCATTCTCGAGGAAAACTATTGTCGAGAAGAGAGGACCAGGAAACCGGTTCCTAGAGCAGAAACGAGACCATGACCCTGCTTATTGTTGACTTGTTCATACGAAGGGCTGGCCTCCTCGCTTCCGCGTGAGACAACCCACACACCATGCGGCAGCTTTGCAGCAGGCGAGCCCAGTCTTCACGAGGTCACATGAAGGGAAAGGGGGGGTCACCCTGCTGACCACTTGGAGCAGTCTGTGCCTTTGGAAAGTCTGTGCGACTGTGCATCGCGTGTGGATTCGGAGCCAGTGCCGTCGTGTGAATGGCTGGACTATGGGAGGCTGCCGTCCGAAGCTATGGGGACTAGGGAGTGGCCTGACGCGGTGGACGGACGCGTCGTGACGGCCCTCGGGCGGTGGAGAAGAGTACATGCCCCCTTCATGACATGGCTTGTAAGCTTGTTTCTCGTGCCGCAGTGTCTTGAAGTTTCCGTCATGATGATGTGGTGCAAAGCCCCTGACAGTGGAAATCGACTCACGAGTGTGCTTGTGGCGAGAAAAGGGGCGTCACAGGGGGCTGGAACACACGACACCGTCTGGGATGATGAACGCCCAAGTGCCGTGAAGATCGTAGTTTCTCAGCCTCCGAAGCTAGATAGACAGACGGCTAGATAGACAGACGAAGGTCTCGTCTCACTTGATTGCTGCGATGCTACCCCACCGCCACTGCCGACGCAAGCACCCTTCAAATATCAAGTCAAGAAAGTCAGGAAACTCGCGTTCGATGCTCATGACCCGAAACTACCGACCGGATGCTACCTTCACGTTAATGGTGCTTGGACGGGGGATGTGGCGGGCGCTTGAAGAGGGATGGGTGGAGTCATGAGATCGCCAGAGTATGTCCTCCTAGGGCCCGGAATGGGGCATCTTGCAGGAGATGGTGTGCAGATGGAATGTCTCTCCAATGAAGCGTTGGAAATGCAACCCGATTTCCCCGTTCGGCGACAGTGAACGGGGCCAGCTGCACAGCAGCCCCCTCTGAGAGCACGCTTTTGGAGTACCTAGTGCAAGTATCATATACAGTGAGCACCCTGGACGATGACCGGAAGCCGGAATAGTGATCATTGGTGGCAGAAAATGCGAGATACTGGCTTGTCCCTCCAGGTCACAGTCTGGGCGCTGCCTCAACGGGTGACGTGCAGAAATATTTACAGTCGTGGAGATGGCGTATTGCCAAAGAAAAAAGAGTATCGGAATGATTACGAATACTACTCCAGACGCCTTAAACTTGTGGCTGGCGGTGGCGCACGCCTTTGGCGAGGCGGAGGTATGTGTGCGTCCCATAGCGCAGAGAGGCGATCTCAGCAAAATCGCTAGAGCCCACCAAAATGGAACGAGCAGTCATGCGGTGACACGAAGAGACGAAGGGAAAAAGAGGTCGACCTTCATACTGAAATGGAGACGAGAAGCAATTTTGGGGCAGCGAGCTGAAGGAGGGTCGCCGGGATGGACTAGGAGTGTGGGGATTTAGGGGCTTTCGAGTTGATGGTGGTGGTGGTGATGGTGGTGTGCGTGTGTGTGTGTGTGTGTGTGTGTGTGTGTGTGTGTAGGGGTCAGGTTGGTGGTGTGTCGAGGGTCAGGCATGATTTGTTCGAGACATCTAGCCCTGGTCGCACTTGGACGTCGGAGC